ACTTTTAGAATGTAGAAGTACAGTGTCTCTAGACTAACAACCTCAGTGACATATCCTATGCTATATAGGTTGTAAGTGAGATCAGGATTTTGAACCAAGATTGAAATTCTGCCTCAGACACTTACTAGCTGTGTGACCTTGGGCAAGTCACTTAATTTATTTGCCTCTACTTCCTCAACTGTAAAATGTGAATAATGATAGCACCTACTTCTCAGACTTATTGCAAGGATCAAATGAAATAATATTTGTAAAGCACTTAGCACAACACCTGGCACATAGTAAGTGCTATAGGCTATTTTTATCATCATCATCATTATGTTCTCTGACAGCAAAGCCAGTCTTTTTTCTACTACACTTTCCAAAGGAGCATTTAACCACAGGGGCATGGTAAATTATAAACAAACTACTATCACATTATTGAATGCTTTTGCCATTTAAGAGTCAAACCTGCTTTCTGTGTTTCTCAATAGACATCCTCACTGTCAAATTCCTTCTACTTTTATGGTTTTCACCTCACAAAGGTATTCAGTGGCTCTGAAATTGGGTGATAACATGATTTAACAGCTCTACTTTCCTGTATGAAGTGGTGATGTCACAGGCCCTATTCAGTTCTCATATTTCTTCCCACAGTTTCTTATCACAACAAGATTTCAATTCCATTAAGTATAGCTAGGAAATGCGGCTTCTAGATCTAAATTTCATGAATGAGTGGAAAGAGAATTTACAAAAACCATGAAAAATTAATTCTCCATTCAGATTCAGGATACAAAACAGTGGTAAAACAGATGGTGTTGTACTTAATTGGAGGCATAACATTAAAACTACCTCCCAAAATGAGTTATTGAATGTTATATGCTAATGAACTTTCAGTAACACTTAAACATTTCCAGAATCTTTGCTGTCGTTAATATGGGTACTTCTCATCAGTATAGATCACAATCCATCTACACCTTTTTTTCTGACTCTTTTCTCTGTGTGCTGGAATCCTCCCTCTGCTTCTTTTAGTATGTCAAGAATTTCCCTTCCAGTGCTCAGAGCATCCATCTGTTATACCTCACTTTTGCTACGTAACCAACATACCTCCTTTTCTAGTGATACATCTCCTTGTGGATATCTTTTAGACCACATTTTGCAAGCTATTTATATTGTTTGTCTAGACCTCTGATGTCATTGGTGTAGAGTATCCCTATTACAAACTCCCCGCACCAAATGTAGGTCAGCAGTGAGTCTGTAACTCATAACATGAGCTGCTCAAAGACAACAGGACTCTGCTAGATGTCAGGAGTGACACTTGAACCCATGTCCTTCTGACTCAGAAGCCAGCTTTCTATTTACAATGACATGATGACTTCATATAAGTCAGTCTGTGTGTGTGTGTGTGTGTGTGTGTGTGTGTGTGTGTGTGTGTGTGT